GCTAGCGCAGATAGCCCTCGTGTAGCTTTGCGCGAAATTCAAAACAAACAAACAAACCTTCTATAAATCTACTCTTAAATGTTTTGAAGAAGCTCTCAGTTCATGATGTATCATTTTAAACCAGATATTATTTGTACATTATAAGCAGGGTAGAATAATACAATCCTAAGAATAAAAGAACTGCCCACACCGGAGACTTGTAATCCATTAGCACTTGTTTTTTTTTATATTGTATTTAGTATTCAATCCCACGAAACAAAACGATCAATTGTTCATGCATCATGATGCCAACAAAAAATATTCTGAAAATTAACTCGCTCATCTGGATATATAATTATATTTTTGACGAGGAAATGTGTTTTACTTTTGCATAAATAAACATATAAATACACAAGTGTGTATTAATAAAGTAAATGCAAAAGGAATTTCGTAAACTTCTACTTTCGGCTTAGAAAATCACAATTCTTAGTTTCACAAATGTAATTAACGTGTAAATTGTCCTAAGTTTCAAAGGTTTTATTAACAGTTTTTAGTGAAGGTTGTAACCTCCGTAGTTCAGTATTAACTGAAAGTAAATCCTGTTATTTATCATTCTGAAGAAATTTAAGTTTGGAACATTGTTTTAACAAATAACATTGTCCTGGAATTAACATAATTACCTGTAATTACCTTTGTTCCGAAGATAAGTAAATTTAAAAGCCAAGTATACAGTATATATATGTGTTGTTTTCTAAGAATAAGATATCACTGTCGAACTCTCCAAATTAACAAGTAATTGAGTACTTTAATTTAGAAACTTGTATGGTTTGAGTTTCGCGCAAAGCTACACGAGGGATATCTGCGCTAGCCGTCCCTAATTTAACAGTGTAAGACTAGAAAGAAGGCAGCTAGTCATCACCACCCACCGCCAAATCTTGGGCTACTCGTTTACCACCGAATAGTGGGATTGACCGTCACATTATAACGCCCCCACGGCTGAAAGGACGAGCATGTTTGGTGTGACGAGGATTCGAACCCGCGATCCTCAGATTGCTAGTCGAGCGCCCTAACCACCTGGCCATGCTGGTCATTTAGACACTTAAAATATAGCTTAGAGAAACTTAATCTTACAAAGAATTTAGGTTAGTTAACTTGACAAATATCAAGGTTTATACTCTCTCTGCCTGATTGTGGTTTTATAAGACCCGTACGAAAAGTAAATCAAATAATTCTATTTTATAATTTAATGTATATTTCACTTTCTTGTTATCTCTATAAAGTTTCACTGTTTTGTTTTTTTAGAGATTCAAATAAAACGTTAAACTTTAGCTAGTTGAAATGGGAAGATGTGAAATGACAAAAACACAAAAAACCTGGTTAATGTCATTAGGGTCCTTGGAGTAAGAAGCACAATCTTCACAGACAAGTTGACCACATTCGTCACATTTGCGGCTTTGTTCGTTGCTTCCAATAGCCTTGCGACAGATTCTGCAGTTTTCCTGGCTCGACGAGGCGCCCTCTTTTACCGTCAAAGAGGGACTTCCTGAGCTAAAGGAAAAGTTTAGTAATCACATCCCTGGTTACCAAGAGACTTCTAAAGCAATTAATTTCCAAAAGGAAAGTTTTTAAATTTCTGAACATAGCTTCTGGCTATAGAATTGATGTAGAATAAAGTAACAACTACTCCTGAAGAATTGTGTCGAATGTTTGGAAATATTACTATTTTTCCATAACTAACTTTATTGAAACTGACGACACTGACTTTACTCGTGCTTAACAATGTAATTCTACACGAATGTTGTTTCAAAGTCGAAGCATAATCATTCCGTCTGGGAAAAGTTATGACATTTTATTAGAAAAAAAACAAAATATGTTTGCTATAAAATTGGGTACTAAATCGATACTAATACGAAAACAGAAGTTTCCAGAAGCCAGCGAAGGAGGTCTTCTAGAAAGAATAAAAGTAGAAAATTTAAACTCCGGCTTGTCTATATTTTCCAATAATTCTAGTCTTTTGATATAATTGCCCGCAGCTGATAGGAGACTGTATAAACTATAGATTTATGTATATGTGTTAATCCAACCTGACTAGAAATGCCGCACAGAAACGGTCATTTGGAATCCCTTCCCGAGACTGGGAGGGCGATAACCTCTGTTATCCTCTCCATATGACGCTCCTGATAATGGCCGTTTTAAAATATCATTTCATATTGCTCAGTTGTGTTTCTAGAAAGCAGAGACCAGTAACAGTAACTAGCTTTGAGTGTGACAAGCTACTACTGTTTAAGTGAATGTTTAAAACCAGAGGCTAGTTTTGAGTGTGGCAAGTTACTAATGTTTAAGTGAATGTTTAAAACCAGAAGCTGACAACCAATTTTTTCTTTGGATTCGTGTAATCATTGTTCTAACTTTTATCCTCTTGTTAATAGAATCATGAGAATGGAGACGAGAAGAGTGGTAAATTTTACCTTCATCAACTGCTGGTAAAGTTGGTTTTGAGTTTACTCTTAACGTCTGTAATTGAATTCATGATGTATATATATATATGTGGGAATAGCAGTACAGTGTACATTTCTTTCATTATATTTAAGGAGTTCCAGTTGTTAAGTAGTTACAATTCGAACATTGGATGTTACACGGATGAAAATACACATGCCGTTTCAATTACTCCCGATATTTCATGAAAAATATCTCGTTCTCTCTTGGATATCTGGCGAAACTTTCGTTATCTAAGCCAGATCACAAGAAGTTTGAATTCTTCTAGGTCGTTCAATACAAAGAAACGTCAGACTTTAATGACTCACGAATGAATACCTTAATATTTTCTACTATAAAACAACGACACTTACTGACCCAGCCAGCTCGTAAAGAACTGTATGATTCTGAAGAAAACGTGGGCATTGGTCTTCATTAAAGGAAGAGTTATTATTGTTGTTGTCGTTTCGCTAACAACCTTTAATGAGCGAATAGAGAATGAAGTGTTACAGGAAAATTGACTAGCTTAAATGTGATGATTCAACACAGTTTCTAATTTAAAAACCTTCGTGCGTGGTCACGTTTTAATCTACTGTTTGTGTCATTTTGATGTCTTATTATGTCACTTTTTGAACAAACCTAACTTTGGTCGTCTCCTTCTCGAATTCTTCTTCTTTTTGCCATACCCTCTCGAGAATGGATCGTTCCTCGGCTGTCAGTCGTGCTAGTTCTTCCTGCGGCGCACGGCAGCTTCTTTTCCTATCCCTTCCCTCTTGAAGACCGGTAGTGATCTGTCGTAGCTTTGTAATTGCACTGGGCCGCTCCGACTCCTCTTCGGTTCCGGTCTTCACTATCTGTGATAGTCGAGAGTAGACCTCATGAAACTTTTCTTATGAGTTTTATCATGGTTAAAGGTTTTATATCACACACAGACACTCTCACACTTATCAGTGTTGTTTGTATTTATACAATTAAAAAGTGGCAATCAGTGTTTCTGTCGTTAATCTACATCTTATAAATGTTGTTCGTATATATATAATTGAAAAGTGCCAGTCAGTCACTTTATTTAGTGTTCAGTTATGGCAAACTTTGTTATTATACTTTATTACACTGGCCAACAACTCATTTTCATCAGATATAATTTATAGGTGGGCTCTTGGGATGCTGATTCCAAATCTGATTTTGGTTTTCCTCTAGCCCATCAAGTTTTCGTGATGAGATCGATCAAATTTGAAAGATCATTGCCTTAATTATAATTTAAGTTGTTGTATATTTATTTTTTCATACGTGTGTACTGTATAAATTTAACCAAGTGTATGGTGTGTATAACATTTATGGGAAATATATTGAGAAATGAATAAAGTTTTAACATTAACTAGCTTAATGTGTGATTATTATCTAAATTGTGCTGAAATTAACACCAGTTATATTTCGATAACTAGATGTGCTAGACGAAAACATATTTGGAATCAGCGTGCAAAACTGGTTTAGGAAAGTGTGTTTACATCTTTGATGAGAGAAAAAAGTTCGATTTTGTCGACCAGTGTTATCAGGATTCTGCTTACCTGTTTACATCTATTAACGATTTCAACGTATACTCTTTTTAGCAGCTCTGTATAAAGGTTGAGTAATTATGTTCTTCTTAAGCCCACAATAAATCTCCTATACTCGCAATAAGCTACAGTAAATCTTCAGTAGTAAACTCATAATACATGTAAGTAACAGTAAACCTCCAGTACAAAACTCAAAGTAAGCTACAGTAAACCTTCAGAATGAAACTCGAAATATGCCAAAGTAAATCTTCAATATGAAACTAGAAATAAGCTACAGTAAATCTTCAGTAGTAAACTCATAATACATGTAAGTAACAGTAAACCTCCAATACAAAACTCAAAGTAAGCTACAGTAAACCTTCAGAATGAAACTCGAAATATGCCAAAGTAAATCTTCAATATGAAACTAGCAATAAGCTATAGTAAATCTTCAGTAGTAAACTCATAATACATGTAAGTAACAGTAAACCTTCAGTACAAAACTCAAAGTAAGCCACAGTAAACCTTCAGAATGAAACTCGAAATATGCCAAAGTAAATCTTCAATATGGAGCTAGCAATAAGCTACAGTAAATCTTTAGTAGTAGCCTCGCAATAAGCTACAGTAAATATTCAACAAGCCACAGAAAACTTTAGTATTACACTAACAATAAGCTACAGTAAATCTTTAGTAGTAACCTCGAAATAAGCGACAGTAAGTCTTTAGTAGTAACCTCGCAATAGGCTACAGTAAATATTCAACAAGCCACAGAAAACTTTAGTATTATACTAACAATAAGCCACAGTAACATTTATTATTAAATTCGCAATGACCCACGGTAAAGATTTAGAAATAAACCCAGAAAACGTCACAGTAAATGTTTACTAGGAAATTCGTAGTAAGCTACAGAAAACCTTTGGTATTTAACCCACAATAAGCTATAGTAAACAGCTACTATTAAACCTACAATAAACCACGTAAGAAGACCTTTAGTATTACACTCATAATAAGTCATAGTAAAACTTCAGCATCAAACCCACAGTAAATCTAGTTCCAAATTTAAATCCACAATGGACCACTTCCACAAAACAAAGTTAAGGTATAAATGTAATACCAACATAATGTAGTAATCTTTAGTATGCTTCTACTATAAAGACAGTAACTTTTCAACGGAACACTTACTGTCATGGAATGAAGAATCAGTAAACGTGTTTGTTTTAGGTATGCGAACTAACTTAAAAAGTTCTGTAAAATTACTTCGTAAGAATTTTCAATTCTATGTTTTCATAAATCCCCAAAAATCATATTTTCATTTGGTACGTCTTTAAGAGCAAAGCTACACAGGCTATCTGTGTCCATTTATGGCATAGAACCCGATATTTTAACGTAATTAAAGGGCATATAAAAGACATCATTCAGAAATTAGGGTAAAGTTGGTTTTTCAATTATAACAAATGAATTACCTAAGGAGTGAGCATTTTATGATATTTGAAATACAGAGAATGTTTTAAAGACTATGGTTTGTTTTAGCGCAAAGCTACATAATGGGCTATCTGTGTTATGTCTATCATGTGGGAATCAAACCTCGTATGTTAGCATTGTAAGTCCATAAACTTGCCGCTGACCCACCGGGCGAAAACATGTAAGTTAACCACCATTTCTTTGTGATTGTCGGTGACTTGATGGACAGGCATCTGTTCCACCTGTGGAAGCAAACTGCGCTGACTGGGTTTATGAAATGCCTCCAGAACTTGGTTGATCGTTTTAGGGATATTTGATTGCTTTTTTGAAGAGAAATATTCACACAATGACATCACTGAAGACGTAGAGCCAAAGGACAGAGTTTGTCCTCATTGTTTTCCATAGAAATGAAAAAACTTGTACAGTATATTGTTTAGGACAGCGAAGGTTCTGAAAGCACATCCCAAGCCATCCAGGACAAAAGCTTTTATCATTAAAGTGAAAGCCATGGTGTAGAAGGACAACCTTTTGACCACGCCTCCCCCCCCCCTCTCCCCGAACAAAAAAACATAATAAACATAATTTTGTGATGAAGTTGGACTTACTTTGTGGCACCATTAACAATACAATATTAACCCAAGTTAAAAGTTTACAATTTACGAGCAACACTTTTAACGATTATTTTCATGTGAAAGATGGCCGAAGAAACTGTAACCATAGCAATCTCGTTCGATCACTTAACTTTAAAGTTCCCTGTCTTTAGTCTGCTTATGTGTGCTCTTGGAAGTTACAGCCCTAATGCTAATGTAAAATTGCACAAGAGAACTGGAACAACACTGACATGGCTGTTCCCCAAAAAATCCCAATCTCATGGTACCATCGCCATTATTAGGAAGCCTAAAACTGAATACAATTTTTTCCAAATTCAGTGTGTTTTCTGTGATTAATTACGTTTCAAGAACATAATAACTTGTGAGTTTAAGGGAATGGCTGGAAATAATCACGTTTTTGAGGAAGAAAAATATATTTCGTTTGCTCTGGTAATAGGTGTGCCCTAAAATGATTATTTTTAAACATGCTTGCTAATGACATTTTCTTAAGGAAACACTGACTTATAGTTAACAACAACACAACAACAAAGAGTTCTTAAAGAAGCAGGCGTGGGGTTGTCCGAATGTGACGAAAACTACTTTTGTTTCTTTCATTTAGTTATGGAAATCGATCATTTCTGTTATCTAATAACAAAATTCTATAACAATTTTTTTATGTTACTGTTTATTTACTTACTCGACCCTTTTGGGCCTTAAATGCTTTTCTACTTGTGTTTCACCATTCCCATTTTTTATTGCAAGAAACTTTGCAGGAAAATATTATTATGACATCAGTTGAACGATATTAAGAAGCAGTGAAATCCATGTTTGCTTATTCGCGATGTAATTCATAATATTTATAGTCATTTTCTGATCATTTACCTTATATTTTATTCAATATTTTCCATTTAATTACACTGTATATTTACGATAAAACATCATTAAAAAAAGTAATCAGAGTTATCAAATGACTGATTTTCAAAGTGCTAAGTCACTTTTGTATTTAAAACGTTTTATACATAAATTACATAAGTAAAATAAGTAGAGTAAGAACTTTGTACAGAACTCAATTATTACGTAAAATGTTATTCAAATTTGACTTTCATTCCTTGTTTTAAAAAGATGAATTTAGTGAACTATAATAAACTAACTAACGCTCAGGGAAGATGCAGTGGTCCTCAAGGGTAACAATGGAGGGTCAGATCCGGATGCCAACCCTCTGTACCACTTCGTGTGGCCTTAAGGGTACCTGCAAAGTTCGATGACAATCGATCCAGCTGTTCGCCAGTTATAAGCGGACACACACACACAGACTTTTGTCAATTAATGGTTTAAATTGATAAGAAATAAAAAAGAAAGCTTGCTTAACAGGAGTACCAACTCAAAATTTCAACTAATTTCTCAGTTCTATTAAAAAGTAGAACGTTTCTCAAAATTACATAGAGATTGAAACGTGCTTATAAACGTGTTAAAAATTAGTCTTATCTGGACTGAAACAGAGGTTATACATTCTGTAAATTATTTCAAAAAGATCATAGTCTAATGGTTTGTCTGTTAGCTATGCGTAACTACTAGTATATTTACCCTGATCACTGGATAATGGTTTGTCTGTTAGCTATACGTAACTACTAGTATATATATATACCCTGATCACTGGATAATGGTTTGTCTGTTAGCTATACGTAACTACTAGTATATATACCCCGATCACTGGATAATGGTTTGTCTGTTAGCTATGCGTAACTGCTAGTATATATACCCTAATCACTGGATAATGGTTTGTCTGTTAGCCATACGTAACTACTAGTATATTTACCCTGATCACTGGATAATGGTTTGTCTGCTAGCCATACGTAACTACTAGTATATTTACCCTGATCACTGGATAATGGTTTGTCTGTTAGCTATACGTAACTACTAGTATATATACCCTGATCACTGGATAATGGTTTGTCTGTTAGCTATACGTAACTACTAGTATATATACCCTGATCACTGGATAATGGTTTGTCTGTTAGCTATACGTAACTACTAGTATATATACCCTGATCACTGTAGATCCATAAAATTGCTACTGGTAAATTTTGTGATGAATCTGCACTTTCTCACACCTACTGATGTATGTACGAAAAACACAAAATACAAAAAAAACAACAACATGGGAATTAGGCACCATTTCCATACGAATGTCAGGATAATTTCTGATATATGGTCACTTGATGGACAAACATCTGCCTCACATGAAAATTCAAACCGCACTGGTCAGGCCTG